GCCAAATCCCCATGCACCTTGCTGAAAATTTACCTCCTAGCTTTCAACTAATCAAATATACTGAAATGAACAAAAATAGTCAATTTTGCTAGACTGGGAAATCTAAAGTCCCTACAGTAAGTTAATTCAGCATTATCATAGCCATAGCCATGTAGTTATTCTCAACAAGGAAAAGAACAAGGTTATCACAGCGAAAAGAGAGAAACTAAAGCAAGGGTTTAGGAGTTCTGAAAATGTCACATTTACCCTTAACAGAAAATATGTTCTGCTTTTTCCAATCTGGAGACAGTTTTTCTATTTTATTTTTTTCTTTCTTAGTACCCTGTCAAACAGAGTGACAAAATAATTCCTTTTTGAAGCCTAAAATTATACCCAAGGAACTTCAACAGAGGAATAAAGAGCGATGTAAAAAGGTATAGAGAGTAACTCCCAGTAAATAACTGGTTGCAACTTCTGAATCACAATGAATTAACGCATAATTTTTTTTCTAAAACTATTTGTAAAAAGTTACTTTATATCCACACCTCTGCACCCGAACACCTCACTCATCCACCCATACTCATTTAATGCCATAGTGCTTCCTCAGTGTGATGCTGAGCAACCCCAGTGTCAGCCCAGACGTTTGTCAGAAAAATGTAAATGCTTGGGCTCTACTCCACATCCTTCTAGGTCAGTGGTTCTCAACCTTCCTAATGCCGCGACCCTTTAATACAATTCCTCATGTTGCGGTGACCCCCAACCATAAAATTATTTTTGTGGCTACTTCATAACTGTAATGTCGCTACTGTTATGAATCGTAATGTAAATATCTGATATGCAGGATGTATTTTCATTGTTACAAATTGAACATAATTAAAGCATAGGGATTAATCACAAAAACAATGTGTAATTATATATGTGTTTTCCGATGGTCTTAGGTGACCCCTGTGAAAGGGTTGTTTGATCCCCAAAGGGGTCACGACCCACAGATTGAGAACCGCTGTTCTAGGTGATTCTGTGGCTGCTACAGCTTGAGAACCACTGTAATAGTTTATTTCTTATCTACGCTGTTTTCTCTCCATTGATTTTTTTTTCTCCATTACCATGCTCACCACTGTCTTTACCTAGCTTACTCAGCAACTTTGAGATTCAGCTCCAGCATCATCATTACTTCCTGACATACACCCCACCCAACTCAGCTACCCTTCGCCTTAATACCTCTGTGAATATAGTCATCATGGCATTTTTCACCTTGTTATAACAAGTATTAATTGTCCCTTCTCGAATGATTAAGACCGTTATCCTCTTTAAAGATTTATGCTATTTATGCAATGGATATAGAATGAGTGCTTCCTATAAGCTAGGCATTTTTCAAGGAACTTTTTTTGGTTCACAACAGTGAACCAAAAAAATAAAATAAAATAAAAAGATCCCATGAAGCTGACATACTTACGTATTGTGCATACTGTGTATGCAAATATAAATTTTACACATTTCATTATGTGTGTGTGTTAATAAAACAATGAAAAAAAAAGAATAAATGATCCTTCTTAAATTTAACCTTGGAGAACAATTCCTTCCACTAAATTATAGACCACTCTGAAGGAAGTATTTATATGCTAAAAGGTTTTTGAATTCATACGTAACACCTAGATCTACTTTTTTCCTGCCACACAACTAGTGAAAAGACCCCACAATCAAACATCCTTTTTTAGTAAGATACCACTTACACAAAAGTCATTGTACAATGTGCTTAAGGAATTTAAAACTACATTAAATGGGTACAATACTATTTCTATGGCTATGTTCTAAAATCGTCTTGAGGTATATAAAATAAATATGTACAACTGTATCTGGAATATCTGGCTTTTATACCCAGCATAATATTTTTCTTTGAAATGAGGATAAGCAGAAATGCAATTTGAGTTAATTAACTAAAATTTTGACTAAAGAAATCTAATTACATACACACTGCATAAAAATTCAACCTGAAATCTGTATTACTGACTTTGCTGAAGAACTGCTATTATTTGTAACTTGTCACTTGAGCAAGCCTTCATATGTCTGACTTATACTTTCCAGGGCTCCATTATATACCATAATTTAATTCTCTAGGACACAAAAATTCAATTTACTTTCCTACTTACTGATACATGATTCCACAGTGGGTTACTATGCTTATAGAAATCACCCAAAAGAATCAAAACACACCAGTTTCTCAAGAAAACTAATTTTTGAAGGGCTTGAGGTTAGTTCTCTAGGAATAACATCAATTCTAAGAAAACCTTACAAAATATTTTGAAGTCTGGTCTTTTATAACTATTTTTTATTTGGAAATTCTAAACAGCATTTTTTTTTTAAAAAACACAGGGATAGAGACTTGAAGAATAAACAAAACACTCTTCCTATTTTTCAAAAATAAGTAAATTCTAATGGGTCAGACTTTAATTGATTCTGAAATACTAATTGAAAGAGATAGCGAGAGGGAGACAACCTAATTCTAACAATTAAACCTTTATATATGTAATCAGCTTTTACCATAGTAAACGCTATAAAAATGCTTAGTGATTTGTTCTTATATGCACACAAAACATGACAGATTTACGATGTTATCTGACAGAATAAGTCCTCCTTGCAAATGTGGAAATTTACATCTCATCTGTATCAATGTAAAACAAGCCCAACATTGTGTTAAGCCTTGAAAATCATATGCTGAGGGAAAACACAGCGGCAAACAGGAGAAAAGACAGCTCTAAAAAGGCAGGCATGGCTCAAGACTGAATACAATACAGACTTGTTTTGCTGTCCTTAAAAACTGGATTAGTGACGATTATACTTAAAAATCTAATGTCTACTTTGTATTGCAAAGCCAGAAAACTGGCAAAACGAGGCTAAAATAAAAGGCAATCATGGGTCCCCCGGCAAGGACTTCCCCGCCTGCGCAGACCTCCACTGGCCTGCAAACACAAGTTACTGTGCCTGCATGGCCCCAAGAGATATTTGAGATTTCCACCCTGCACACAAGACACTGAGCTCAAGAGCAGAAATGTGCCTTGCCCATTTTTCATTGAGCACCTGGCTCAATTTAGTCATCAGTAAATGAGCAAGGAGGGAGGAAACCTTATCTGAGTTTATCTGTAAGGATCTAAGTACGAATACGGAAGTGCTCACCTCTGTCAAGATTTGAAAAGGTAACCGATCCTGTAAGGACTGGCAGATATTTAATCGGTGAGTGGTTACATTTGTATCTTCTTTCCCCCACTCTCACACCTAACTTTGATTGGTTTTCTCTATAGGTGTTCACAGAGCATCATCTGCTTTCTGGCAATAAAGACCTAACACGTCATGTCAAACTTTTCTAAGACAAAACCATGTGCGCTGGATCACTGCTCTAACAGTATACATAACTGTGCATACTCCCACAACTAGCAGTGTGCATTCTTTCCAGGTGCTCCTTACCCGTAGGAGGGACATGTTTCAAAAGCAACACCCCGTGTCCTGATGTGCCAAAAATGAAATTTCTCTAAACATCAGATATGAATCTTGACCTGAAAGGTGACACTAGAAATAAAACTGCAGTATCTCATGAAAAAGTCTCTGTTTGCTAGCCCCCTGCTGAGTTAAGCTACTGTGCCAGCAAAGTGGTATCTACGTTGATTGGAAATTTTTTTTATTATGTGGACTAATGAGCCATTGGTCCACACCTGGAAATATACAGTTAGTTTTCCCGAAAAAAAAAAAGATGCAAAATTATAGATTACACACAAAATTTTTATAACCATCCAAGCCAGAGATTCTTATTAAACTCAGTTTCTGCTCACTGCCTTATCGTTACAGTACTATTTATTCAGACATATTACATTTTAATGTTAGATTTGATGCATCTTTCAATTTTGATGCGAAGAGCAATATCTTCTAAAAATAAAATACTATCCCATTTATGACTTTCATGTGTGACTTAAATCATGTGTTACTTACTTGAATTGCATTGTTAAATTATATCAACATACTGAAAGTAGGAAACTTTGAGAGCAAGGAGAAGATAAATACAACAATTTTGCAACAAGCAATTCAAATAAAATTCTTTTGGCAAAATTAAAATGTTAACATTTTGAAGAAGTTTATTACAAAGACATTGTAACAATAAGCTTGCTGCTATCTATTAGTTGACAGTATGCCTCTTTTCCTCCACCTATCTTTTTATTAATAAGTATAAATGTGATCAGCCAATTTTAAAATTCTAAATATTTTCTTCAAGAATATTTAATTAGAAACAAAAAGACCCATTATATTGTACATGCATCTCTCAGAGATTTTGTAATCTTCACAGCTTTTACACAATTAATACAACTATCACTATCAATGAGCTACAAACTTCACACATCTTTGCTCCATATTAACTTGTGGCCTGCTCCGTAAAAAACACCGGGAAGGGTGTTATTTTCACATGAAAAAATAACACCAAAAAACATGTATACAGAAATAATGGATACCAGGAAATCCATATAGTAATTGATAAATGATGGTTCCAATTATTTCATTAAGCCTCAACAGTGTATGTAATTCTTTAAAAATCAGATCTCTCACCAAAAAGATATAGGTAACAAGAAAATGGCAGCACTATGAAAAGTTTTCCAGCACATACGGAAATTTTTATTTAATAGTTTTAGAACTATGACTGCACTCCAGGAGCAGACAAAAGATGAAGTGAAAGAGTTGCCACAAAATACCTTCAAATTTACTAGAATAAATATAGTCAATAAATGTAAAACGTAAAAACAAAACAAAGTGTTCATTCACTTATTTCAGGATTATTTAAAATTATTACATTTATAAATTTATGTAAAACAAAAATTCAGATTTCTAGAACTTTCTATAATATATAGCTCTGTAATGAAAATAATTCAACATTAAGAAAATCTTTTTATCATCTGTTTCTAAAATAGTACTCGTCTACATAAGTAAGCTTGCATAGTTTCAGTCTCCTAGATGTAAAAAAATAAAATTCAAACTGCTCTTACCTTCTATATTCGGTAAGAAGATGATTATAATGATAAACCACAGACTTCGCATTCTGCAACCAGAAGACACCATTATTGATCCCTTTAAATATTTTCTTTGTATTCCTTAATGAATCTAGTTAAAAATGTCCAGCTTCATTGAACCCAGCAGTCTGCATCATTGATCCTCATATCTGAAAAACAAACAAATCCATCATTTACTCTATGGTCCTTTTACTTCACAAAAAAATGTGAGAATAAAAAAAAAACAATAAAAATAACTATCCCTCCCTTCTTCCCTCCACCTCCTAATTATTTAAAAAAAAAAGGTATAAACTTTGATTCTATACCCACTACGGCAGCTGCACCTCAACGCTGAATAGCGGAGCCTCGCATCTCAAAAATGATCAAAACCCAAAAAGCATTTATAGACAACCAGAACATATGAATCACAAAATAATAGTTATATAAGTTCCTAATGATGAATTTTTCTTTGAAAAGCTTATTAGAAAGGCATCCTAGAACAATTCATCTGTCACTATGTCAAATATTACTCTTTTTATTAAATTACAATTGACTCTTGAGCAACACAGTGTTTTAATGTGAGAGTCTACTTATTATCAGTAAATACCTGTACTGTTTTTTAGGGGGTTTTTTTATTCACTGTTGGGAGCCTACATATGCAAAGGGCCAACCAACTCTATGCATTGATCTACGCCATTTTATAATGGGGACTTGAGCATCGGTGGATTTTGGTATCCACGTGAGGTGAGGGTGAAGGGGATATCCTGGAACCAATCCCCATAGAATCAAGGGAGAATTTTAAGTTTTGTGGGAGTCAAAAGTTATACACAAATTTTCCAACTGTTCAGGGTTGGTGCTCCCACCCCCACATTATTCAAAGGTCACCTGCACTAGCTTTAATACATAACACCTCTAACAAGGTTTTATAAAGAACATATACTTTTTTGCTTTGTTTCTAGTAATGGTAGCAGCAGCATTATCTACAATTTTATCTTGTTATCTTGCAAGACGGTGTAGAGATATAATGAAATGGTTTATTTTTCTGTACAAGGGTGCACAATTTTTAACATATGGTTGTACTTTATATAATAATGGCACTCCGAAATTATCTCATTTCCAAACACAACATATCAAATTATTATTCCTCTGATTGTTATTATTCATAGAGAGAGCCAATTAATAAAGTCTCTACTATTTCATTAGAAAGTGTAAGATTTTCAAATATTGTCTTTCCTTGCAGCAAGTTACAACTTAATAATATCAAACCTAGGCCTTGAGTACATAGGTCCATCCAATGAACTCAAATAAAAACTCCAGCCCAGCCCTGGCTGCCGTGCTAAGTGGTTAAGCATCAGCCTTCTCACTGAAGGGTTACAGGTTCAATTCCCATCAAGGGCACATACATGGGTTGTAACGTAGAAGGCCCTCAATCAATGTGTCTCTCTCACATCGATGTTTCTCTTTCTTTTTCTCTCACTCCATCCCTCCCTTCCACTCTATCTAAAAACCAATGGAAAAAAGATCCTCTCCTGTGAGTATTGACAAACAAACCAACCAACAATAAAAAATAACCCCAGACGATAATGAATTTATCTCCAAGGTTGCATCTCTAAAAACAAAGGAACGAACTGGTGGAGAGGTGGCAAAAAATATATATAATCCTGAGCCAAGTCTAATTTTGACCAGCCTTTTAGGATCTGGATCTTCGACAGGAGAGAACACCTGAGATGCTGCTCTGTCCAACGAAATAAGACAAAAACAAAGGAAAGAGCAAGTTTCCTCTTCTGAATGCCAAAAATATGAAAAGAACAGATACATTGGAAATTAATGGGATGGAGACACAGGGCACACAATCCCGCAGAACCACCTAGCTCCCTCTATCCATTTTTCACTCTGAGCCCCCAAAGACTAGTCCAAAGACAAACCCCAAAGTAAACCCGCAGCTTACCACTGCTGTGGCAAAGTCCCTGCCTTGAAACTGCAAGCTCTTTTATGGAAAGCACAAGGAGAAGTCAGATAATTTCATGGCTTGTCACATTGAAAAGCCCCATCAATAAACAATCTCTTATACCCTATAGACTGTTCAATGAGCTGATGAAGCAAGGAGAGTAAGTTTAATGTGTGAATGAGGTGCGTTCATTACTACAAGTAGAATTCAGTGTGAGCCCTTGGAATGCTCCTGACAGAATTCTGACTGTCCAAGCTTTGGTTGTAATGGGTACTTTCACGTCAATGAACAAAAGCATACAGGCTGCTTGCCCACAAGCACAACTCTCGAACACATTTCCACTTTCTTAACGCGGTCCAAGATCAGTCTGTCTTCAGTCATCCACTCTTTGAAAGAGTCCTTGTTTGTGGGAAGAAAGGGAAGGAAGAAATCAGGGACTGATGACTGCCTTGTAGGAAACAGCTGCCAAGATAGGAAAACCTCTGTTAGTGAGGGGAAAAGGAGGAGGAAACCGCACAACCAAGGCCTCTTTTGTGGTCTTTGGCCAGGACACAGTATTTTATGAACAGGGTTTAACTATACTAAAATTTCAGTGGAGTCTTAAAATCTGAATGTAGAACACAATTTTAAAAGTATGCTCTAGTCAATTATGAGACAGTACAAATGACTGCTTCTAACAAACAGAAACAGGCTCTGGAATGTCATGTAAACTCATGGCTTCTTATATGTGGATAAAGCTGAAGTCTGTCCATCACTGTGCAATGAGTAACTATAAAGAATATCACATTTATTTTTCTACAATCTATAGCCTATCACTTTCACATCAAATAAAACTATTTTCAAAAGCTCAAGTTCTGCACCACCAGAGCAGCTCAAGTGGTTGAGTGCTGGCCTGTGCACTGAAAGGTTGACGGTTTGATTCTCGGTCAGGGCATGTACAAAGGTTGGTTCGATCCCCAGCTGGGGGCACATATGGAAGGAAGGCAACCAATGGATGTTTCTCACATCTCCTACCCCATCTCTCTAAAACATGCCCTCAGGTGAGGATTAAAAATAAAAAAGCAAAGCTCAAGTTTTAAATACAATTCTGAAAACTTAAGTCAAAAGATTTTACTGCAGTGATCCAAACTAAAAACAACCTTCCATTTAAAAATGTTAATGAACACTGAAATACTTAGCAAACCACTATCAGCTAAGGATAGAATGAATAAATAATCAAATATGGTGAAACTAATCCTCCCAAAAAACATTCCTCCTACATCAAACTCCAGCCAACGGGCACTCACAGGCACAGATGCAGCTAACACTCTCTCTTCCAACTCTGTAACTACCTGCAAAATGAAGTTCAGGAAAAGCTTCTCACAGTGCAAAAGAAAACAAGAAACTAAATCAGAAAAAGGGCTATTAAATTTTCTTTCAACAAACAGAAAAGATGAACCCTGCCCCAATATTAATAAACAGTTTGTCTTTAGGTGTTTAGAAACCTTCTGCCCTATTCCCTCCTCCCAACTCCTCCACCTCCCCCCATAACTTCAGAGAGGAACTGGGAGGGTAAAGACAGAGCACAGATGAAACCCCTCCTAATGCTATGTAACAATTCAACTCTTAATAAAAACAGAAACAGAACATTTCTACTGAAACTGTAAGTAACTATGCTTTTTCAAAGATCAAAGGCACTTCTAATGTATAACCTCATCCTACATTTCTTCTTATCCTTCAAGTAAGAAGATTCAAACTATTTCATCTATAAACCACATGCCATTGTATACCAAGCCTCTGTCAAGATTTTTTTTTTTTTTAGATCTAGGTATCCTATTACTCTGTCATGTAAAAAGTCAATTAATGCATCATTACTACTAAACCTTCCAGAGCTGAACAAGGACTTCCAGGAATACGCATCAGCACTGTTTATATCCTAACAGTCTTCAAAGTTTTATACTTCACTTACAATATACAGTTAGTTGTAGTCTTTCAGATGGTAACCTGCTTTATCTAGGGTTGGGCAAAAATGGTTTACAGCTTAGTAGACGAAACACAGGATTTATTCTTGTATTATTTCTTCATTTTTGCATTATTTTTCCATAGGAACAACTGTAAGCCTACGTTTTCCTCACCCCTGAATTTATTAGCTGCATTAAATATTCCATCCTGTGCCTTAAATTGTGGGCAAAATTAGGAAAACACCGTTAATAGTCATGTATTTATGGAACATTACCAGGAAATCACATTTAACCTAATATTAATGATGCCTATTTAGTAAAAATAGAAAAAAATAAAAAATATTTGTTGATAAGCATCAGTGCAAGAAGTAGCATTTAACAAGCTTCAAGGTAGTAAGAGGAAAAGATCATTTAAAATTGTCTAAAACTGGTTAACTATGGTTGATATTCTATTAAGAGCAAAGCCACCTTAAAGATTCATATATAAAGCTTTATCTTTAACTTCTATTCGTAGACACTGAACTGCTGTGAACACTAGATGTTAAATGCAAAACACCTCTATGCATGGGGAGAACAGGGGAAGGAAAGAGCCATCCAAGCATGAGACCTACAAAAGTCACCCCTCCATGTTATTAAGCACTAACACTATATAAAATAAAAGATTAATGTTTGGGATAAGCCTAAAATTCTACGCACTAACTGTATGTCAACTCTAAATGGAAGCTAAAGATAGCTGTACATGATCTCTCTTTCTGATCTTAGTTGTGCTATAAAATTATTAACATTACGGGGCATTATTTACTTGTAAAAGAAAGCTGCTTTTCTATATTTTACCAAAACAAAAACAACAAAAAAAGGATACCAAACCCACTCTGCCCTCATGCAATAGAAAGTGAAAAATAAATTAGCTGCATTTTAATTTAACTAAACCTCGCTCAGTGGTCATTTTTCAGAAATGTGCAGTCAGTCCTTCTAAGTCAGAGTCTCCCCTTCTTGTTAACATAGGAGAAAACATCAACACGCTTGGGAGTTTTCTTTCAGTAAGTCATCTAAGAAAAACCGTTGCTATTGCTAATCAGAAAGCCTTTTTTTTTTTCCCCCAGCTCCAGGCATTCAACGTTCTTTGCATTTCAGTTTATTTTCTTTCCCTCACAAGGATAGGGTTGGGGCTGAGAACGCTGATGGAGATTTTAAAAGCACGTGACCACCCCTAGTCGCCACCCTCTTTCTCCGTTTCATTTCTGCGGACACCAGTATCAAGTCTAGAGTAGTTTACATTAAA